ATTTGGGGTTTGATTCTATTGTTTAGCTTTTAGATCCCATTAAATCAAACTCAGAAAGTTCATCCAGGTTTTTTTTTTCTGTTTTCAAAAAAACATTTAATTGACAAATAAAGATTGAATATATTCAGGGTATACCACATGATTAGATATATATATACATTGTGTAATGATTACTGCAATCAAATTAATTAACATATCCATCCCCACCCATGCTGTGCATTAGAGCCCCAGAACTTGTTCATCTTATAACTGCAAATTTGTACCTTTTGACCAACATTTCCCATTTCCCCCACGCCCCGGCCCCTGGCAACTACCATTCTACTCTCTACTTCCATGAGTTTGACTTTTCATCCAGGTACTTATTTATCCTGTTTTGTTATGAAGATATTTGTCATAATATGATCTGACCTGTATTTATATACTTTATGTGAAGGACAACACTGAGTCAGCTTTAGGAAAACATGTTTTTCATTTGTTTTCTAATAGCTGTAATGAATGTACAGTAAATAAAGCGTATTAGTTCTTATAGTCACCAGTAAAATGCCTTATAAAAATTTTTGAAAATGAGGAATAAAGTGAGATATAAATAGTTCATCAAATAGAATGCAATAAACAATAGCACTTACTGGTTCCAACTGAAAGTAGTGATTTATAACTTCTTAATACATTTAAAGGTAGACTGCTGAATTGCAGGAGAAAAGATCTGACACCTCCTCAGCTTCCTTTCTCCAGTAAGACAAATTAAAGCTAGAAATGTCTTACCAATTGGATATTGTGCCAGTGGTAATTTATATTCGTGTATATCGCTGATCAAAGCTCTAAAGAATGTATTAGTAGGAAAAGATTTCTTAAGTTCTAAAAATTTTTTACTAAGAAGGTAGCCGTTTTCCTCTTTTCCATTAAAGTTTAGCATGCAATATAACTCAATGGATTTTTACAAGTGTATATACTCAAGTAATCACTACCCAAATCAAAATAATTACCAGCATACTAGAAGACTTCCTCTAGCCTACCTTGCAGTCAGCCCCCTAGAAGTAATCACTTCCGACTTATACCATCTTAGATTAGTTTTTTTTTTACATTTATCCTCAAGTAAAGATTACTTGTTTTTAAATTTTATATAATATCTGTGAGATTCATTCATGCAGCTACCT